TCGCGAAGCCGAGGGATGAAATGATTCCCCTTTTACTCAACTTTTTTATTTCAAAGTGACTCAATATATTTTTTATGACACAAAATAGTTTTTTAACACAACTACACTTTTAAAAATCTTGCAAATAATAACTTGTAGGGCTAGCATTCTGTTAAACGCGAACTGTCTCGTATTGCCCCGCTGTCTCATTTTGCCCCGCGTTACCCTAGTTTTAAATTTCTGCTCTTCCATAGTTCGGTAGTAATTATATGGGTTAAGGTTTGTTACAATTTTTGCGGTAAAATTTTTCCTTGTTAAATCTTCTATATTTATTAAAAAAGGGCGTGCATCGAGTTGAAGGGTTTTAGAGGTAATAAATTTTCATATATTTTCCTTAAAAGTTTCCACACGGTTCTTGCTTTACCGCAGAAGATAAGGGGTGGTGAGTGTCTTCCACTCGTTCGCACGTTTTGCATTTTGCGTTGGTGTTAAAGTATCCCTGTGTAATTTTCCAGGAATTTATCTTTTCATGGGTAGGGAGTGAATCAGTAAGAATTTGGCAGTGCGTATTCTTGCTGGTTCCTCGGGCATAGGATTCAAATTTTTTTTCTTATATTTGTTTCCATGGAAGCGTCTTTTGGATCCTTGCTTCCCATCGCAGTTGTATTAGTTTTAGGTTTGTATTTGCTTTTTGTTGGTTTATATGTCGGTAGAGGTTTTTTTTTTGTTTTTTGGGCAATTTTAAAAATTTCAACATCATGCCGAAACTTTTTAACGACGTCTTTGTAGTAAAACGGTACACTATTTAAGTATTTAGGTTTGTTGTTTCCAGTAAGAAGCAGCCATTGTGGGTAAGTGGTCTTGGCTAGGGTAGTTAGGTAGTATGCTAAGTAGTAGGATATATGTAGGAAATATCCGTCATGGCATTTGTTGTTTCTTTCATTTGGAGGATATATTTCTTTCTGATGGCAAAGCATTGGTTTTGCGCATCAAGAATGCCCAATCCCCCCTTGTTGACGGGTAATTTTAGAATTTCTCTTTTCAAAGGTTCCGTGTAAAGATTCTGCCATAAGTATGCGGATATTTCTTTCTTTATTTTTTTAAGGTCCAGTTTTGATTTTGGAAAGGCATTTGCCACATACCACACTTTTGATAGCGCAAGGGTGTTCATAAATGTTCCTTTGCATTTTAGTGAAACATTTCGGTATTTAAAAGATTTTATTTTTTTTCAAAGTTTTTTATGGCTTTATTCTAATTGATTCTGCCTGTATAGGCGAGATCCGTGTGGAAAGTTATTCCTAAAATTTTATTTCCTGTCTGGTTTGAACAGTTTATATTATGGTTTTTTTGTTTGCGAGCTTTTGTTTCGTTCTTATATTCAATATAGTTAAATCCTCCGAGTCTAAGGCTTTTTCTTGATCGATAGTGATCAGGCAGCTTTTAATATTTTTTTCGTTCGTGTATTGTTTTGCATCTCCGTCGAGATGAATATTAGAGAAGATGTTTCTCCCTGGTACCGCGCATGTTTGCATCGGTCCGAGGAAAAAATTCAAAATTTTTCAAGTCTCAATGCTAGCGCTTTTGTGGCTATCTTATAGTCCGCGCAAAGCAAAGATATTGATCGCCAGTTTTGTATTGCTGTTTTATCTCCGTCTTTGGGTAACAGGGGAATGAGGGCCGTTTTTTGCATCCAGGATAGTTCTTTATTTTGGTGAAACATGTTTTCATTAAATAGGTCAGTAATTTCCTCCCCATATATGTCCCAATATTCTTGGTAGACCTCAACTAGGATGCCGACTATACCAGGTGTCTTTCCTTTGCCTAGAGATTTTGCTGCGTAAAAAAATTCTTCGCTGCTAAAATTAATATTTAAAAAAGCGTTTTGGTCGTCATTTAAGACGTTTTCAATGTTTTCAATGAAGTGGTTTTGTTTTTCTTCGCTTAAGCTTTCTTTTTTGTATAAATTTTTATAACATTTTCTAATTGTATTTAGGATGTTTTTTGTGTCATTATTTAATTTATCTTGGTTCTGTATTTTTTAATAACTTTTTTTTTTGGTTATCTTTTTCCATATGGAATAAAAATTTAGTCGGTTTTTCGCCTTCCTCAGTTTTTAGTTGCTTAGTTCTGACAAAAATTCCTTTGTTGTTAAAGAGTGTTTTCTTTTCATTTTGGAGTTGCTTAATTTTTTCATCGTCCTTGTTTGCTTTATTTTTTTCATTTTCAATTTGTTTTTCTAAATTTGCCTCTTGTTTTTTTTTTCATTTGTATTTTTATTTGACACTGTTACAGCAATGTTCCTAAAGGGGGTTTTGACTATATCCCACCATTGACTTTTATTTTTATATTTGGGTTTTTTAAGTTTTTGTTTCTCAAAATCAATTTTTAATTTGTTTTTAAAGGTTTCATCTTCTAAAAGCGCTGTATTAAAGTGCCAATAGACTGGTCCTCTTTTACTAAATTTTTGGATTTTTATTTCACATAGGACTATTTTATGATCGCTTAAAGCGTTTTCCTAGAATGTGTATTTGCAGCCCTTTAAAATTTCTATAGAGGCATATATTCGGTCTTTGCGGCTTCTAAACGTTTTATTCTCTTTCTCATACGTAAATACTTGTTTTGTTGCGTCACGTGATCTGAAAACGTCAGCAACATTATGTTGTTCTTTAAATTTGTTTAGATTTTTAATACCTATTATTTGGTGGTTAGAGTTACATAAATCTCCTCCTTCCCTATCTAAACTTGAATTTTCAACCATATTGAAACCTCCCAGTAGAAAAATAAAATCGTTAATCCGCGGATGCCTATTTAATTTCTCAAAAAAGTTTTCTTTATGTTGATAATTATTGGGTGCGTAAATATTTATTATTCTTATTTTGAGATTTTTCAAGATAATTGTGGTAGCAAGAATTCTTCCTTTTTTATCTTGTGTAATGTGTTCAATATTTGTCTCCTTCTTAAATAGGTTAGCTACGCCGCATTTGTGGCTTGTTGCACTATTCCAGATGGAATTTCCGTTGGTTTTATTTTTCCACTCAATATTACCCATAATACAATAATACCCAATCGTTCGCTGTTTTATCAGTGCTATGAGTTTCTTGTAAGCAAAAAACGCCATAATTTAAGTTTTGAAAAAAGTTCATCAATTTGTTTCTTTTGGCCTTGTTGTTAAAACCATTAACGTTGTTTGATAGAATTTTTACTGCCATTGTAAAAAAAAAAAATTTGATGATCTCAAGAGATCATCAAATTTTTTTTGATGAACAAAGACATCTGTAGAAATTTTGAGCGCGTTTTTTATAAGAAAAAAAATAACGTGTTCGTAGAAAAAAAAATTCAAATAATATAAAAATAAGAAAATAAGCGATTTCTTACGTTTTTTCCGTTTCCATTTTGATTCCGTCGTCGACAGGTTTAATTACGATGTCTTCGATGAGTGTTTTTTTTCCGTGCATTTCGAAGTTGTAGATCTTTTTCTTGTTCGGGTTTTCTTTACTTGGTCCGTCTTCATTTATGTTTGTTTCATCTTTCGAATGTGTGTTTTCTTGTTTTTTATTTTCTTCTGTTTTTGGGTTTTCTTAGAACTCATTTTCCCTTGTAGTGGTTTCCATAGGTGTTGATTGTTGGTTCGTGTCTCTTTCTGTTGCCTCAGGTATAGAAGCTATTTCGAAGCTTACTTGTTCTTCTTTATTGGAGTTAGTATTGCAAGTGGTGTTGTCTACATTATTTTTGTCGTTGTTTTCTTCTTAATTATTTTTGTTTTCTTCTTTATTTAGATGTTCGTTTTCGGTTTGTTCATTGTGTTCGGTTCTCACTGAGTATCCAAGGATATTTATGCGTTTTGGTATAGGTTCTTTCAGTCCTTCCATAATTGCAACTAAGATGCCGCTATAGTATGGAATTCCTTTAGATGTGAAACTTATCACTGGTCTCGACGAGATATGTTTTCCATAACCCTGTTCCTCAAGGTAGTGACCAATTTTAAGATTTTTGACTTCAATTGGGAGTCCGAATACTGACACATGTGTCTGTAATCTTGCTTCTTCAAGTGGTCTTCTGTATAGGTTTGATTTTACAAATATATGGTGAAAGCCCATTATGGTTAGTCCTTTTTCAAAAAGTAATGTTTTGGCATCGTCCGTCTTCATAACTATTTCCAGAAAGCTGTTTCTTTTAATAAACTGTTGCCCTTCCAGATGTTGATCAAGTTTGCGTTTTTCTAAAGCGTCAATGACGTCTTCGATGTCCACGGGGCATTGTAATTCATTTATTAATGTTGTTTTAGTTAAGGGTTTCTTTTGATGGAAATTTGCTTTGATTGCTTGCGCGTAGTTAAAAATTTTTGTTTGTGGTTTCTTTTTTTATTTATTAATTTCGGTAGATTCATCCTCGCTATCGTCATCATCGCTGTAGATAATCTTAAAATCCGATTTCGCGACGCCTCTTGATACTTGTTCCATTTTAAATAAAAGTCGTGCAGTTTCGTCGTTTATGGTCGAGTCTTCTTGCATATTCATACGATTATTGTTGGCTTGTGTAGTTTTGAAAAAAAACTATTTTCTCCTCCTCTTCATCACCTTATTTCACAGAGACTAAAAAGTTTCAGTATGTGCTTTTTTCCGTAGTGTCCTCGTTCTTAAAATGAAGGGGTTGTTCATTTGTCCGTTTTTCTAATTGTAACTCTGAAAACTGGAGCGCAACTTACCTAGCACAATTTGTTCAACGTTTCCCATCGCAGCTGCAACAGAACGAATTCCTACTCTATCAATAGCTAAACGGTACCAGCTCTTTCCAACTTCAAGATTTCCTTCTTCTTATCTGATTGGAGCATGATCTACCGATAAACTTCTTTCGCAACTTTTTACAACTGATTCAATGTCTTTTCTACAAACTTTCTGCTTCGGATATGTCTGTTTCATCAAATAAAGGCTTCAATTTACTCCAAAGTGATGAAGATTATGAAACGACTTCACATCAGGCGATACGAGATTTGCTGTCATTGCAGAATGGTTTGAATGCAGCTAATTCGGTGGTACCCTCGTAAGAGCATCGGCTTTATTTTCTGCTGACTTAACCAGAAAAAGTTTTAATTGTATACTGCACTCCTTCACGTCTTCAATTAACGACAACCGGCGACGGGCAAGTGGTTCTCCAAGACCGTGTATTCGAATGGGTTTGTCACCGATAAATATGGATTTCAACCAGCCAACAACAGTAGCCGAGTCACACTTCATGGTAATACATTCGAATCCCCATTTTGTTACTAAATTGATTCCTTTTGTCACAGCTTCTAACTCTGCGAGATTAATGCGAGCCGCATCATATTGTTTTCTCAGCCACGAGCAGTCTTCTACTATTTCCCCAGCCAGAACTATGCCAACAGCTAAACTGCTTGCATCGCACCACACTGTTGCTTCAGAAGTGTTTTTTACGTTCCATGACCCATGAACGGGATCTTCCTTTGTAAGTCTTAAACTGCTTACTAATTTGACAACACGATCGTTCACCAAAGTGTCCTATCCACAACTACTTAAAACCCTTTTTAGATAGCTGCACGAAAGGCGCAACCAGTTTGCTATTGGAAAATGTCCAGTCAGCTGTCCGCACCCAAAAAAAATTTGCCGACACGTCATTTTTCCTTCAGGAACTTTAAGTATATTTTCACGTTTCCAAATCACTTGGTTGTTTTGTTTGTACACTCGCAATCCAAGCACACGCCCACCGACAAGTTTTTCTGACAGCTTAGAATCCGAGCCATATTTTTTCAAGAGTTCTTGAACTCTACAATTTGACACTATGTTATTATTGACAACGATGTCATCAATAAATGAATCCGTCCCAGACTCGACAACTTTGTCTAAGGATAATACCTTTCTCAAGATTTTTGTCATTATTCTGGGCGCCGTATTTAAACCAAAACCCAACCTTGTTAGACAGTATCGCTGCCCTTCATATTCTACAACTTGGTATTTCCATAATGCTTCGTCGACACGAATCTGCAGGTACGCTTTTTTTAAATCGATTATTGATGCTTTTATTTTTCTTCCATTGACATATACGCGAAGAGTTGGCGGTTTTAAGTTTTGTGAAAAGCCGCTCGCACAAAAACGGGTGGCTTCCCTTCACGTTATTTGAGTTCGTACATCTTTTATAGCAGTACTGGGCCAGGTGATTGTCCATTTCACACACAAAGCACCTCTTCTTCTCAATCTCTTTGCTGCAATTTCGACTGATATGTCCATCCTCACCGCAACGGTAGCTTGTTATGGTCTTTTTTCCTTTAGGAACCTGTCTTAAACTAATGGCAACCGGATTCACGCAACTGAGAAAACACGATTCTTTGCGACGTAAAATTACCAAACTTCTAGATTTTTCAGCAATCTGGTACAGCGACATTGTTGATATTGAGCATGCAGTTTGCAGGTGTTTTCTTGCTTTGTCAGGTAATCCAAGAATAACATAAATCAACCGTGATCATAAACGGACGTACTTTTTTTCAAAATTAAAAATGGCGAAATTTACTGTTTCACAAATCAAGGAGCTGTTAGAGTTGCATGAAAGTACACTGTTGAAAATATTTAATGATAAGTTTGAAAAAATAGAAAACAAGCTCATTAGTATGCAAGTAGAAAATACAACTTTAAAAAATAAAATCAGCGAATTAAAGAAGTCTGCTGAGTTCACAAATGAAAAATACGAAAAAATTTTAAACGAAGTGAATGATTCTAAAAAGAAAGCATCAGCATCGAATTTAAACAAAACTAGCATAGAACTTGAACACAGCAATAATATAATTAAAGACAAACTAGCAGAATTGGAGGACCACAGTCGGCGAAACAATTTAAGATTGAATGGGATCCAAGAAAGTGAAAATGAAACTTGGGAAGAAAGGGAAAAAAAAAATACACGTACTATTAAATTTAAGACTTGGTATTAATAACAATATAATAAGTGAAAGAGCACATAGAACTGGAAAACTTGATTATGGTGGAAAAATGAAAAACAGAACTATAGTTGTCAAATTCTTAAACTATAAAGATAAACAAACGATAATGGAAAGTTACTCGAAATTAAAACTCTGGACTGAACGCCTATACATTAATGAAGATTACTGCGAAAGAACAACGGAATTAAGAAAGAAATTGTTTATTGAAGCGAAAGAACTTAGAACCAAAAGGTAAATATGCAAAAGTGGTTTATATTAAACTTGTTACGCGCGATGCTTAAAAATAGGAATTCCTTTGTTTTCGCTAGGCACTACAAGTATACTAAACTATTAAAATGGATTCAGTTTTACTAGATATTTTAAATTAACTTTTCATTTTCTTCAAAAAAATAAATATCTTATTGATGAGAGATCTGATCCAGATCTAAATTATTTTAGCGAAGCAGGTGCTTTACAAAATAATTGTTGTTATTTTTACGCACATGAAATAAAGGACTTCCTAGAGCGTGACCATTTGAATGTCTTGCATATAAATATAAGAAGCTTAAAAAAAAATTTTGAAAGCTTTTGCTTATGTATGAAAGATAATCTAAACGTTTTTAATATAATTTGTGTAACCGAAAAGTGGTACGATTCTGACAAAGTGAATTATGACTGTAATATCCATTTACCTGGCTTTAAAATAATATCATTAGCGCGTAAAGCAAATAAACGAGGCGGCGGTGTGTTTATTTACATAAAGAAAAGTTTTCAATTTTTTACAAGACTCGACCTGAGTATTTCTGATGACGATAAAGAGATTTTAACAATTGAAATTTTAACCAAAAAAAATAAAAACATACTTTTAAGTTGTTGTTATCGCCCACCTTCTGGAAAAATTTAATGCTTTAACACATATTTAAATACTGATATTATAAAAAAAGCTGACCACGAAAATAAATTAATCTATATAATTGGCGATTTTAATTTAAATTGTTTTGATTATTACGTCAAGCATAGCCCACAAAAGTTTTATATCGAATTATTCAAAAATGGAGCGTTTCCTTTAATAGATAGACCAACCAGAATTACCGAAAAAACGGCTTCAATAATCGATTATATTGTAACTAACGATGTTTTTAATGAATCTTTAAAAAAGGGTATTATTAAAAGTGACATTTCCGATCATTTCCCCATTTTTTTTCTCTATAAATATAAAACCGAAAGGACTACCTAATGAAAAAACAACCTTTTTAAAACGTATCTATAACGAAGCTAATTTATTATCGTTTCATGAACAACTGTCATTGCTTCATTGGAAAGATATAAACACTTCATCTGACGTAAACTTTGCTTACAATCAATTTTTTAAATCTTTCTATGAGGTATATGATGTAAATTTTCCGAAACGCGAATTAAACTTAAAAACCAAAAGTGTAAAATCACCATGGATTACAAACACCCTAAGAAAATCATCAAAAGTCAAACAAAAGTTATACATTAAATACCTTAAAGAAAAAATGATAGTAAGTAAAACCAACAACAAAAAGTATGCGAGAAAATTTGAAAAAATTAGAAAGAATCTTAAAAAAAAAAACTATTCCGATTTACTTATGCGATACGAATGGTGATATCTCTTATGATGCACGTAAAATAGCAATCGAACTAAACAAATTTTTTGTCACGATCGGACCTAATTTAGCAAGAAATATACTAAATATAAAGAAAACAATTGATATCTCATCTATTGCCTTAGCTAATCTTGATTTTTTGGAATTATCGTTTGAAGAATTTGAAACAGCTTTTAGTGCGCTAAAACCAAATAAAGCAAGTAGTGTTCGGCAAAATCAAATATACGTCAAACCTTTAAAGATTTGAATTTGAACTGTTCTTTGAGGGGATAGATTTGAATTTGATTTGAAAAATATCTGGAGGATTTGGATTTGATTTTCAAATATTCACTTTGTTCTCAATTTTTGCGTTTGAAAAAAAAACGCCAAATTTTACAGGCCCGCAAACATATATATCACTTTATTCCGGGGTCTTTGCAGTGGTTTCCGGAATGGCGGTCGCCTTTCAATAACAGAAAAAAAAAAAAAAAGAGTTTTTAATTAAAGTTTGTTAATATTAAAGAGAAAGTAAAGAGCATAGAGAAAGAAAAAAAGAAAAGAAATGTAAACAAAGTACAAGGTTAAAAGAAAAAACGTAGAAAAAAATATATGTAAAAATGAAAAGAAAAAATTGCAAATACAATTTAACCACAATAAAAATGGAAAAAATAAAACAATAACGAATCGAAAAACATTCAGAGAAAGAAATAATCATTCGAAAAAAGAAAATAATAAAAAAATATAATAATGGCTTGCTTGAAAGCAAAGAATTTTTTTTTTCTAATTTTACTATAACTTATTTTTATATTTCCAGGTTTCAGGTAGATTTCCTAATTTATTTATTTGTTAATCTTTTTTTTGTCGGTTTAAGTTTGCCGTTTTGTTTGTAGTATGTTTGTGAAAACTTGTGTTGTTGTTGCTATTGTGTTTGTATTGTTTGCTGTTACTGTAGCTGTTTTTGTAAATTTGATCTGTTTATGTATGTTTTTTTTTTTTTTAAACTATATTATGATTATTTCTATTTTAATATTCGTTATTCTTGTTTTCATTAATTATTTTCCTTGTTTTTCATTATAATAGTTGCTATATGTCATTGTTTACTTTTACGTTTTATCAGTTGTAACTGTTTGTAACTGTCTAACTTTGTTTATGTAGCTATTGTATTTATAAAGACAAGTGACTTATATATAATTATTATTATTGTTATCATTATTATTAATATTATTTTTATTATTTAAACCATTATTATTTTAATCATTTTCATTAGGTGTTTACTTAATATTAGTATATTTACTATTTGTAAACAACCTTGAAATGTATCTATTTCAGAAATATATATTGATTGATTGATTGAATGATTAATTAGTACCCCTAACCAAACTATTGTTTTGAAAGATATCAAATATACATTCCTAATTATGTCGGATAATCCAGAACCCGAATCTTCTTCTGTTACAAAATCCACAAAACGTTCACAATCAATTGTATGGGATCATTTCACAGTTGATGAGCATAACAAAACCAAGGCCATATGCCAGCATTGTCCAAAGCACAAGAACAAGTATGCTTACAATAAAGGTGGGACAACAAATCTAATGAACCATTTAAATTCTCAACACAAAAGCAAATTACTTGGGGACAGAGAACCAAAGCAACGACGTTTAGATGACATGATAATGACACCAATCGTTTATTCTCCAGATCTATTCAATGAATACTTAGTTAGCTGGATTGTCAAGAATGATCAATTATTTAATAAGGTAGCGTCCAGCCACTTTCGTAAACTACTCACTCTACTGAAACCAAATTTGTCAATCATGAGTGCGCGCCTATTAAAACGCCAGATAATGGACACTTACAACACCAAAAAACAATTGCTAAAGACCCTTTTTTTGAATCTTGACTCAAAGGTTTCATTCACCACTGACTGTTGGACATCACCCAACAACATTGCTTTTATGGGCATAACGGCTCATTACATTGACAAAGACTGGAACCTACATGCCAAAACTCTTGATTTCAAATCCTTGCCTGATTCCCATTCAGGTTCAAATTTATCTAATGCATTCTTGTCAGTTTTGATTGAATTCGGTCTTACAAGCAAAGGAATGGGCATTACCTTAGATAATGCTTCCAATAATAATTCATTTATGGATTTTTTAAATTCCAAGTACGAAATTAAAACCACCTTTGAGCATATCCGGTGTTTTGCTCATGTGCTGAATTTGGGCGCGCAAGCAGGTTTGGATGTTTTGAAAGATGATCTTGTAAAACTTAAAACAGGAATTAAAAAAATCCGATCCAGTCCTCAATCATTTTCTAGGTTCAAAGGTTTCCAGCAATCAAATTGCACCTT